TTTTTTTAAATCTTTTTTTTTTTAATTCTATATTTTCTTTTTTTTTTTTTTTTTAATTTATGATAGTCACAGAGAGAGACACAGGCAGAGGGAGAAGCAGGCTCCATGCACCGGGAGCCCGACGTGGGATTCGATCCTGGGTCTCCGGGATTGCGCCCTGGGCCAAAGGCAGGCGCCAAACTGCTGCGCCACCCAGGGATCCCTAATTCTATATTTTCTTCTAAGAATTTTATAATTGTTGCTCTTACATTTAGGTGTTTGGTCCATTTTGAGTTGACTTTTCAACATAGTGTGAGGTAAAGGTCCAACTTAATTTCTTTGCATGGGAATATTCAGTTTTTCCAGTAATATTTGTCAAAGTGACTGTCTTTCCCCTACTGTCAACCATTTGGCCATATATGCAAGGGTTTATTTCTGGGCTTCTTATTCTATTCCATTGGTCTGCCCGTCTTTATGTCAGTGGTCATTTGGACTGCTGTCCTATTGAAGACAACTGAAAAAGCTGGACAAATATATATATATTTTTTCCCAAAAAGTATTAAAATGCTAACAAGATAGTGATTGCTTATTAGTAATTACTCATCCAAGATCAAAGAAAGGATGGACATCTAGAGATGAGCTCTTTAAAATTAATTTTTAAAAAATATTTTACTTATTTATTCATGAAAGACACAGAAAGAGAGGCAGAGACATAGGCAGAGGGAGAAGCAGGCTCTACGCAGGGAGCCCAATGTGGGACTCGATCCCAGGACTCCAGGATCATGCCCTGGGCCAAAGGCAGATGCTTAACCGCTCAGCCACACAAGCATCTGAGCTTTATTTTATTTTATTTTATTTTAATATTTTATTTATTTATTCATGAGAGACAGAGAGAGAGAGGCAGAGACACAGGCAGAGGAAGAAGCAGGTTCCATTCAGGGAGCCCAACATGGGACCTGATCCCAGGTCTCCAGGATCATGCCCTGGGCTGAAAGCGGCGCTAAACCGCTGAGTCACCGGAGCTGCCCCCTAGAGATGAGCTTAACAGCAGATTCAACCTAACATTTTCTCTTGGGAGTTTGCCAGTCCTGAAGAAGTAGTCAAGAAATGAGCCATGTTTTTGGCAGCCTTGTAGGATTAGAGAGAAAAAGGTTGGAGTACAAGGCCTCCAAGGTAAGCAGGATAAGCGAATTGGCTGTACCTTAGGAATAAGGTGAATGAGAGGAAATTCAGACCTGAGGCAGACCTTGGCTTTGAATCATCTGGGGGGCTCAGAAAATCTCAAACTCTGAAGTTGAATTAAGTTGGTTCTAAATGTTTAGTGCCTCCAGGCACCTGGTAGAAACAACAACAACAACAACAACAACAACAACGATATCTCTAGAGAAAGATATCATTCTATTCAAGTTATTTCCTCACATGGATGTGTCAGGCATACTATCAAACGTAATCAAGCACCAAAGAGAAAGAAACCGAGGAGTGTGAATCAACAGAAAACATGAATAGAAACAGATCCACAGGGACTCTAAATATAAGACTCATCAGACACAGCCTGCAAAGTACTGTGCTTACTATGCTAAAAGATTTAACAACCAAGCTCAACATTTTCAGCAGGAAACTGGGAACTATAAAAAGTGACATGACAGGGGTGCCTGGCTAGCTCAGTCGGTAGAGCCGGCAAATCTTAATCTTGGGATTGTAGGTTTGAGCCCCACACTGAGTGCAGAGCTTTTTTAAAAAGAAAGAAAGAAAAAAATAGAGTGACATGACGATTTTGGCAACAGTCAAGTAGAAATTCTAAAACAACAACAAAATGCAGTAACTGAAATTAAGATTCAGACAGGTGTTTTTTTTTTTTGTTTTTTTAAAGATTTGAGAGAGTAAGAGCGTGTGTTGCAATATGTGGGGGAAGGGCAGAGGGAGAGAGAGAATCTCAAGCAGACTCCATGCTGAGCATGGAGCCCGATGTGGGGCTCCATCTCACAGCCCTGAGGTCATGACCAGAGCCAAAATCAAGAGTTGGACACTCAACTGACTGAACCAGCCAGGTGCCCCTTGGTCAGGTTTAAAAGTGGATCATACATAGCTGAAAGAAAATCAAATAATTCCAAGGCAGGGCAGAAGAAACAATTGGGTGTGCAGCAAGGGATAGACAAAAGGATGGAACACAGAAGAGGGAAAGAAGCATTATCAAGGATTTGGTAGTAAGATGGAAAATCAGCAACCCAGAAAGAGGAGAGAGAATAGTGGGAGGCATTATTTGAAGAGATGATGGTTGAGGACTTTCCAAAATTGATGAAAAGACATCGTTCCCTATTCAGAAAGCCCAATAAATACCATTAAGATAAGTAAAAAGCAAGATAAACAAAAATAAATCCACACATAAGAGAGGTCATAATGACATTGTATGACACCAAAAATGAAGAAAAATCTTTTAAGGAGAGATTACCAGAAAAATAATGTTAGCTTCAAGGGGGCAACTGTTGGCCTGATGGCTGACTTCTCATCAGCAATCACAGAACCCAGAAAATAGTGGAATCAGCTTTCTCTCGTGAAGAAAGAAACCAGCTGCCAATCTGCAATTCTCTACAGTTAGAGCCTGGACATGGATTTGCAGGGATGGGGAGATGAAGAGAGGGGCCAAGAGTAATGAGGTCCTGAAAGCCAAGGCCGATGGACAACAGGTGCTGATCCCACAGACCCACGAGAGCAGGATCCTCAGCTTGCAGTGGGGAAAGGGAAGAGCACCATGACCCATGCAGCCAGATCTTCACAAGCCAAGGCAACTAGGAGCCTCGAGTCCCTCTGCCACCGGCTGTGCCCAGGGCAGACTGACGGAGGACCAGTTGCACTGTTGAGGCGGCAGCTCCCTCAGTGCTCCTTCTGTAGCACTCGAGTCTCTTCCCCATCCCAATACAAGTCTGAACACTTGGGTCTCTGCACTCTGGGGTGTGTGGGGTGAGGTGGGGGAGCAAAGCCAGGGAGAGTAAGGAAGCTTATGCTTCCTAATAAGTGGATCTTATTTTTTTAATTTTTAAAAAGGTCTTAAAAGAGAGAGTACAAACAGGGGGAGCGGTAGGCAGAGGGAGAGGGAGAAGCAGGCTCCTTGCTAAGCAGGGAGCCTGATGCGGAGCTCGATCCCAGGATCCTGGGATAATCACCTGAGCTGAAGGCAGATACTTAACCGACTGAGCCACCCAGGCGGCCGTGCAGAGTGGATTTTAAATATGGATTTCCTCAGCTCTCTCCAGCAACTAGACCCAGCCAGGCCTGTCTTCTCCCAGCAGGCTGGAGGACTCTCTGCAGGGGAGCTGGCTAGACTGAGAATGGGCCTCTCCGGCAAAGGTCTCAGCCGACCACTCTCCAGCAGGCTCCTGGGCAAGTCCCATCAGTGCAGACTCCCCAGGACCTTCCCTGTCTGCCACTTTTCATTGTAAGAGTTGTTAAACATTAAAGGAAAACCTCGTGAGAAAATCAGCTTGGAAAACAGAGACCGTGGCAAAAACAAAAACCATAACAAAAAAATATTATAAACATCCTTAAAAAGGCATTACATCCATGAGACTGGGACTTGTGTCTTTAGGCTCCAAGCTCCTTTCTCGCCCTATGAGATCTCTGTAACATGAGGGGTTAGAAGGCGGCCAATTGTTTTCCCAGACTCTCCTGCAGCTGCTTCTGGTTAGGTCCTGCCAGTGGAAAATGCTGGTGGGGCCTGGAAAATGGGAGGAAAAAGGAGACATTTGTCTTTTGTGGTCTGGCGGGGCCTGTGGCAGCAGAAGCAGCAGAGGATGAGGGCATCCTTGGGTCATTGGTGGCCTCAGGAACACTGGTTGGAACAGTGGCTCCAAGTTCCTGCTCAGAAGCAACTGTGCGGCTCTACAGCGGTGCTGGCGGAGGCCACACTTGCAGCAGAGCAGCTGTGGTGAGGGCCGCGGGCACTGGAGGCTTCCTAATCTCTGGGTAGCACCTTCTCTTCCCATTTGCTCTTCTAGCCCTAATATTATTTAGTCAATCTTTTCCATTAAATTCTTCTTTGATTGAAATATCTAGGCTGGTTTCTGTTTTTTTTCAATAAACACTGACTGATTGGGATACTATCATAAATATTCCAAAACTAAGAGTTCCTAGCTATTAAAAATGTGAAAGCAGAAATAAAAGAACAACAACAACAAAAATAAATAAAAGAACAAATGGAAAAATAATGTTGATGGAATCATCCAGAAAAACAAACACAAGATTCCCAACAAGGTAAGTACTCAAAGTTTACAGTAAACTGTAACAGAACATAATCATGATGTGAGTTACTTATTCTCCTGCTTCCCCATAAATACCAGTTGGTGGATCCTGCCAGACACGTGACATCTGTTGCATGTGTCCTGGGTAGTACAATTTACTTATTTAAAAAAAAAAATTTTTTTTTTAAAGTAGGCTCCATGCCCACCCTGGGGCTTGAACTCACAACCCTAAGGTTGAGTTGCATACTGTAGAGACCGAGCCAGCTAGGCACCACTGGTTAGTACAATTTTAAGAGAGCAGAGATGTCAATTAAAAAAAAAAAAAACAGGGGATCCCTGGGTGGCTCAGCGGTTTGGCACCTGCCTTTGGCCCGGGGTGCAATCCTGGAGTCCTGGGATCGAGTCCCGCGTTGGGCTCCCGGCATGGAGCCTGCTTCTTCCTCCTCCTGTATCTCTGCCTCTCTTTCTATGTCTATCAAAAATAAATAAATAAATCTTTAAACAAACAAACAAACAAACAAAAAAACCAAAACTAAAGACAGGGTAGCCCGGGTGGCTCAATGGTTTAGCGCCATCTTCAGCCCAGGGTGTGATCCTAGAAACGGGGGATCAAGTCCCATGTTGGGCTCCCTGCATGGAGCCCGCTTCTTCCTCTGCCTGTGTCTCTGCCTCTCTCTCTGTGTCTCTCATGAATAAATAAATAAAATCTTAAAAAAAAAAATCCAAACAACTAAAGACAGACTATAACCTTCTAATTAAAGTACTCTGTCAAGAACTTTATATTCATAAAGTAAATATAGTTTATTTGATGTCTGTATAAATAGGACTTGTTATGGAACAGGAAGAGGTTTTTCCAAAGGGTTAAAATTTATTCAACAACAGAACTTGGTCCTTCCTTTCAGTTTGTCTCAGAATGTGGTTGCCTGAGGTATCACTGTCAGAAGTGACTTCCATCACATGCAAAGTCTGAAAGTCTTTCAGTGGCACTTTCCGTTTCTCTGGAAAACACTTTAACTGCTTTTGGTTGGAACAGGAGGCAAGGTTTTTATCAGCTCACACTCTACTCCATGGGAGCCCAAACACACCCCGCCATTCTCTTGTTTGAATGGTGGCCGCTTGGAAAACAGCGTACAGATGGAGAACTCAACATTAACACACACACAAAAATGTAGTATCTCTATACGCGCTAACTGTAATTTTGCTTTACAGTTTTTTCATTAAAGAATTATTCTTATTTTTATTATCGCTCCACAAAGAAGTTCTAAAAAACACCTGTAAAAACTTTGAAAAGGCACTCTAAAACCCCAGAATGAAAAATTCTAAAGTATAAATCATGATACGTCTTCTATGATTTATAAATAAGTTCTACAAGCTAGAATTTCTGAATGACTTTGACAGGAATTTACTCAAAGGAACCAGAACACCAGGACTTAAAGATTTTCTATTTTAACCCCAACTGAGTTTTTAAAAAGCTACACGTGTGTTGACAAGCAGGTCCCACACATCACTTGCTGCCACCACTCATGAGGAGGTTAACAGAGGGACAGGGATTTGTGCCTGGGATGTGCCAGGCTCCTCCATGCAGCTGACAGAAGGGGTCGCGTTTTGTTTTGTTCCCTGGTATTTTACAGAAAATATACATATGGTAAAAAAATTTAAAAGGTACATGAAGATCTCGAATAATAAAACAATATCCTTTTTTCCCATAGCCCAGAAAATCTGATAACTTCAAAATGATTCCGCAGTCATGTGACTAATTTGCATTATGAAGTGAACCTTGGAGACTTAGTTCTCTGGAATGACGCTGATTTTCTCATGTATTACCTCTGTTACAGAGGAAAGCCATGCAGTCTTCTCCTTCTTAAATAAACCAATTACACAAGTAACATGCACACTGCTCAGAGACGGCCAGTCCGGGCACCTCCTTGGGCTCCACGGGTCTGTTCCTGGCTCTGGACAGTGTCCCTGGCGTCATCCCTGCAAGTCAGGTATCACATTTACTATCAAGGCAATTTCAAAAGTAAGAAAACTTCTCTTAATCAAAATGAGTCATCTGGTCCTTGTAAAACAGAGGCTGAAATCTGCCAGGTTCGTGTTGTCTGGTCGTTAGTAAATAGATAAATATTTTTATTTAACATTGTTCAAAAGGACAGGAACCATAGACTCCTAAGCATTCAAGCTAAAACCAAGTCAAACCTTTCCTAGAGAACAAAGGGAAGGTGAGACAGCAGGGACCATGGATGGAAATTCCTCCACATAAATGCCCATCCCAGTGATGGGCAGCTGGGTGCTTCTTCCCCCAGGGGTGCTCTCTCTCTGGCAAGAAGGAAAGGCTTACAGAGATGGGGCCAGGGTTCAGCCAAGCCCTTCCTGAATGCCTCGGATCCTCCTGGCCAGCTGTACATCCTTCGGGAAGAGAGTAACACGGCCAGCATGTAAGGAGAGAAGATAGGCGTCCTCAAAGAGATGAACTAGAAATGCTTCTGCAGCCTGGGGGCAGAGAGAAGAGTCCAAGGACTGACACCCGAGGGGGCGTGGGCTACTTTCTTCTCTCAGAGCCCGCGGTGCTTAGTCCCCTGAGGGTTTCTGGGACTGTCTGCAAGACTGTCCACAGAGTAAAGGGGAGCCTGGGAATTCTGCTACCACCCAACAGGGATCCGGCCTCCACACCCTGGGTGTTCCTTGATGCTCTCTCTAAGGAGGCAAGAGGCAAGAATCCTGTGTGGCATGCCTCTCAACCCTGTGCAATTCCGGAATGCCTTTCCCCCGTTCTCACCCAACTGTACCTGGGCCCCCTTCTTACCTCTTGCAGGGCCAACAGGGCCTGGGCTTGCCAATAGAAGTCCACACCGCGTGTGAATTTAACACATATCTCTCTCACCTGTGAAGGAGTGGGGATGGGGAGCCAAGGGGAGTGGCGTGGGGAGGGAGTGGACAGTAAAAGAAGAGAGATTCAAGGGAAGGTCGACTCTTTCTATGAGTCTCCAAGAATCTTCATTTCTGTGATACCTCCGTGGTCCTTAATCTTAGGACCTAACTAGTAGCTGATGTCCATTCCCTGAAGCTTAGGAATTGGCATGTGTCCCCTATTGGTGGTGGGGAGAGAAGGAGGCAATCTCCTAGGGTAGGAAGATAGATGATAGCATGGATGGATGAGATGGTTCCTATTTATATAATCAAAGAGTACAGTTTCAGAGGTGGTAGGGTTTAGAAATTAATTCCATAAAGAACCAGAAGGTGTCCTTGGTGGGCCATGGTTTCCAAAGATGGAGAGTCCTCTGCCAGGTTAGAGAAGAGGTCCCTTAGCCTTCTGGGCAAGAGATGACAGGGTCCCCACCACCTGGGAGATTTAAAGAAAGGAGGTAGCATGGGGGCGGGTGGAACTCACCAGGCGGCTGAAGGGGTTCTTCCTTAACAACAGGTTTGTACTCTTCTGAAGCTTTCGGATCTCCTTCATAACTAGACGTTTTCGGGAACCAGGGTGACGGGAAGAAGTGCCTGAGCAGAAGAGTTGGGTCATCAAGTACAGTGGTCAATGGGAGATGCCTCACAGCTTGGCTAAGATAGGCAAACTATCAAATCACTAGTCTGTTAAGTTGCACAAAAGCAGATTTCAGTCTATCGTTTACTATCATTATCTTCAGCAACTGTTGAACAGCAGAGTTGCTAAATAAATATTGGTTGAATGAATGAGTCATCCTCTGAGGATCTTACCCTCAATAATGATCCTTTAAGGGTATTATCTTAAATGCCAATTCTTCATGAAGGCTTTCCTGATTCCCAATTGCTTCTAAATTGATTCATGAAGGCTTTCCTGATTCTCAATTGCGTCCAAACTGATAGGTCACCTCCCTGCTCTGAGCCCCACAGTACTTTGGGCATCTCTCCTATCTTTCCCATCTAGATTGGAAACTCAGTTACTTTGTGTTTAAGTCTTTCTTTTCTTTTCTTTTTTTTTTAAAGACCTGGAACGAATCTGTGAGGTTTTCAAGCACAGTTCCCTGTCTCAGTTATCCTGAGGCCCAAAGAGGTGAAGACAATTGGCCAGAGCTTATTTGTGGCCAAGGAGATGTGCATAACTTGGTGCCCGTGTTGGGTCACCAGGCTATGGAGCCAGAGCCTTTGGCTCAAAGCCTGGTTCCAAAAACAACAAAAAAGAAAAAAAAATCTTAAAAATACCCCCCAAAGTATAGGTCACAAAAGCCAAACTCTGATCTGAGATTAAAAACACAAGAATACAAAACAAAGTCGAAGAGGAAATTTAATGGATATTGACTATTTAGAAATGAATCAAAAGTCTACATCTCAAAACTTATAGCTAAATGGTACTAGAAGAAAACATACAGGCTCAAGATTGATTTTCCATTAGAAAAGGAAAGCATTAAAAGACACCTAAATATTCAACTCAAGTGTTAGGAAGAGAATTATTAAATTAAACCAAAAGCAGATAACCAAATATTCAAGATAATAAACCAAACTAATGAAAAAGAGAGTAAAACAAAGAATAGTTCTCTGCCTGGATAATTAAAACCAAGGACCCAAAAAATGAATGAACCTCTCATAAGCTGAGCAAAGAATAAAAAAAGAACTACATGAAAACTTACATTTTTTTTTTAAGATTTTATTTATTTATTCATGAGAGAGAGAGAGAGAGAGAGAGGCAGAGGGAGAAGCAGGCTCCATGCAGGGAGCCTGATGTGAGACTCGATCCCGGGACTCCGGGATCACGCACTGGGCCAAAGGGAGAGGCTCAACCGCTGAGCTGCCCAGGCATCTTGAAAACTTACATTTTGAAGAAGAAAATTAATTTCAGAAATGTTACTCAAGGTCCAGCCACACCACATAGTAAATCCACGTTGGGGCTGGGGGATTTATTAGTGAACTAATTACAGACTCTTAGAAGAGCTGCATGAGTAAACAGGTGACAGGGAGGCAACCCAGAGATGCCTGTGCTCCGCAGCTGGCACTGGAGACATTATCTCTGGGTAGGGAATGTGGGCCAGAGAAACAGGCCAGTGTCCAGGGGACTGGTGACATTGAGGAGAAAGGAGGCGGCCCCACACTCAGGAGCCATGCTCCCCCCACCACTGGTCGGCAATCCACAGTCACTAGGAGGCAGCCTTTAATAGACAGACATGGCAGTCACAGAAAATGGAAGGATGACCACAACCCAATCTTCCCAATGTGAGAAGGACAATGCCATGAAAGGAAGGAACCAAACTCAATAAACAAAATGACCAACACTGGAGGAATTGGAGTTAACAGGGAAAAAAGAGACTCCGAGAAAAACATGTGTAATAAATAACCTCAGAGGAGTAGGAGATGTGAAACCCAGGCCACAGAATAAGCAGTAATGAATGTAACCAACCAGAGAGATCATGGGGAAGAACTAGGGTTAGATGTTCAAGAGTTGGGTCTTGCAGTGTCAACATAAGGAATTGGTATTTTTAATCCCAATGTCATGGGAAACTGTGGGAGAGTTAAGCAAGACAGAGAGGAGATCTGCTTACCTTTTATTTACTTATTTTTTAAAGATTTATTTATTGGGGCTCCTGGGTGTCTCAGTTGGTTAAGCATCTGACTTCGGCTCAGGTAATGATCTCAGATGGAGCCCCCTGCGGGGCTCCTTGCTCAGGAGGGAGTCTGCTTTTCCCTCTCCTCTGTCCCTCCTCCTGCTCGTTCTCTCTCTCTCTCTCTCAAATAAATAGGGAGAGAGCAGAGGGAGAGGGAGAATCTTAGGCAGACACCATGTTGAGCACAGAGCCCACCCGTTGTGGGGCTCCATCTCACAAGCTTAGGATCAGGATCTGAGCCGAAACCAAGAGTCAGATAGTCAACTGGCTGCGCCCCCCAGGCACCCCAATCTACTTACATTTTAACAAGGAGTCCAGGTGCAGAGCGAGGAAAGAACTGAAAGGGACAAGAGTAGAAGTGAAGCAGCAGCCAGGCCAGGATACTGGTGGTGGGGACTGGTGGGTGGGAGTAGAGCTGACAAGTGGTGTGATTCAGGTTTTGACTTGGAGGCAGAACTGCCTGGACCTACTTGTGTATGGGGATATGAGAAAAGAATGTCTCACAGGTTTCTGGCTTGCACAACTAGAGAGTGCTGTGCCATTCACTGAAGTGGGGGAAACTGGGCACGAAGAGGTTGGAGGGAGTAACCCAAAGTTTGGTTTAATTTATTTCTTAAAAATTTTAAAGGATTTTATTTATTCATTTATGAGAGACACACAGAGAGAGGCAGAGACACAGGCAGAGGGAGAAGCAGGCTCCCTACCGGGGGCCCAATGTAGGACTCCATCCCAGGACCCTGGGATCACAGTCTGAGCTGAAGGCCGACCCTCAACCACTGAGTCACCCAGGTGCCCCCAAAGTGTGGTTTTAGACGTGCTCCACTGACATACCCCAGAGCCCACAGGTAGAAAGGCAGCTAGGTATGGGGGGATCTGGAGTCAGAGGAGAAATCTGGGCTAGAGATACAAATGTGAGCACTGTTGATGCAGGAGTGGTATGCAGAGTCCTGGGAAGGGATGAGACCAACCAGGGAAGGAAAGGAGGAGGAGGACAGCAAGAAGTCCAACGTCAAGTTGTTGTGGGGAGGTGGCACAGGCAGTAAAGGACACTAGATTGGAACCGCAGTGTGTGACAAGGGGATAGAATGTTTCTAGCAGGAAGTGGCTCCCTGTGTCAAATGCTTCTCAGAGCAAGAAAAGGACATGGACAGGTCTATTGGATTTAGCAACATTAAAGTAGCTGGTGACCTTGACAAGAGTACTTCGAGTGCACTAGAAGGAGGGGAAGTAGTTGTGGGGAGCCAGACGAGGTTCACCCAGGCTCCAGGGAAGCCTGGGAAGAGGGGAAACACACACGTGTGGTCTTAAGTCTGGCTATTTAAAAAAAGGTAGTTATGAAGGGCATTAGAGAAATGGGGAGTATGAGAGACAGAGATGTGGGGACAAGAAGCACCCCTGCTCTTTGTCTCTGGATCAGAAAGAGCGGAGCACATTTGTGGAATGCCAATGAACTGAATTCCAAGCGCAAGTGGAGAGGACAACAGAAAGCCCAGTGAAGGTGAGAGAAAAATAGGACCAAGAGCCCATGTAGGAGGAGTGAGTGGCTTTTGATAGGAAGGGGAGACCAGGGGTCTCTGCTGTGAGAAAATAAGGGGAATCCAGTCTGGGGGCTTCCTTAAGTGAAGCAAGCACATAACAAGGTCATTATCAACTGAGAGCGAGTTGGGAGGCTGGAGTTGTAGGAATTTGAAGAAAAAGGTATGGAATAGTCAATGGGGAGAATGGAAAAGCAAGACTGCCAGACAAGTGCAGGAGGACGGCCAGGAAATGCTGAGTGTATCCATCTGAGATAAAACCTTTCATTTAACCAGGAATACAAGGATGCTTCTACATTGAAGAGTAACAGCAATGGCATACTTAACAATATTCGTGTTAAAATTAGAAACAGGGGGGCAGCCTCGGTGGTGCAGCAGTTTAGCGCCGCCTGCAGCCCAGGGTGTGATCCTGGAGACCCGGGATCGAGTCCCGCACAGGGCTCCTTGCATGGAGCCTGCTTCTCCCTCTGCCTGTGTCTCTGCCTCTGTCTGTGTGTCTCTCATGAATAAAAGTAAAAAAAAAAAAATCTAAAAAAAAAAATCTAAAAAAAAAAAAATTAGAAACAGGGGTGGAGGGCAGCCCCCGTGGTGCAGCGGTTTAGTGCTGCCTGCAGCCTGGGGTGTGATCCTGGAGACCTGGGATCGAGTCCCACGTCGGGCTCCCTGCATGGAGCCTGGTTCTCCCTCTGCCTGTGTCTCTGCCTCTCTCTCTCTCTGTGTCTCTATGAATAAATAAATAAAATCTTTTAAAAAATTAAAAAAAAAAAAAAAAGAAAGAAACAGGGGTTGAGGTCACCTGGGTGGCTCAGTTGGTTAAGTGTGGGACTCCTGATCTCAGTTCAGGTCTTGATCTCAGGATTGAGAGTTCAAGCTCCACGTTGGGCTCCACACTAGGCATGGAGTTTACTATTAAAAAAGAAAGAAAAGAAATGGGCCAAGGGTGGCCAAACCACTTCTCTTATTTCAATACTAATCTCAGGGCTTCACTAATCCAACACACTAAGAAATAAAATATAGAAAAGTGAAAAAGATTCGAAAGTCCTTATTTGCAGACAATAGCCTATTTAACCATTTCAGTTGAAGCAATTGAACAATAAATTAACAAGAGAATTCAGCAAGCTAGCTGGCTGGATGCAAAGGTTATTAATCTTTAGGGAAGAAAATAACCCATAATACACTTTTTTTTTTTTTCCCACCCTGCTCTTAACTAGATTGCAGGAGACAAGTAAAGCAGTTGTTGCCAGAACAATTCTTGCTTGAGTGGGCCTCCCATCCGCCAGACCACAGAGCGTAGAAACCGAAGACCACAAACTAGTCTTCTTTCCGGACCCATAAATAACCTCAGGAAGGGAACAAAGTGAGAGCGCTCTACTTGAGGCCCAACACCACCACTCACTGAAGAAACAGACACACACCCCAACACCTGGAAAGGCAACTTCTGAAAGTAGAACCGTTTGAAATTGTCACAAAAAGCTGCCAATAATTCTGCAGTTTAAAAAAAAAAAAAACAAAAGCACAAACACTTAAAAAAAAAATCCTGTCTGCTGGAGCAAGCTGTGTGACCTCAAGTTACTTGGTCTGCCTGCGCATCAGTTTTCTCATCTGAAAAATGGGCACAATGTAAAGTTGAGATAAATCACCCAAGCAGCGGAACGCAATGCCTGGTAGGGGTTAGTACTCGATAAACGCTACTAGTAGTAAGACTTAGTATTAGGTGCCAGGCCGCCTGGGCCCATCCTTTCTGCTCCTCTAACTGCTTTCCCGGGTCCCTGCGGGGCCTGGAACTTGGGCCGGGCCCGAGCAGGTGCTGTAGGCGGCACGGCTTTGCCCGCCGGCAGGGGAGCGCCGGCCGGAAGTCGGCAGATTCGGACCCGGGGTCCGCGCGCGAGCTCGGTCTTCTGGTCCGTGGAATGGGCACCTGGATGCGGCCGTGCCCACCTCACGGCCAGGGAGCGGGGAGGCCGGCTGCGGCCGGTTACCTAAGGAGGGGCCCCGCCGGGGGGCGCTGGGGGCCGGGCTCGCGGGGCGCCTCTTCGGGACTTCGGGCTTGCGGCGCGGGCCCATGGCGGGCGCCAGGCGTGGTGGCCCTGCGGCTCCTTCTCGGCCTTTGGGGTCCGGGGACCTAGGCTGGCGTCTGCGGGAGCCCAGGACCAGTAGACTGCTCGGCCGGCCCCGGCGCCGCCTCGGTTCCAAGGACCCGCTCTGTCGATTACCCTCGCGGCGTTTTTTAAAACCCGAATTCGGCAACTCTCAGTGGCTGCTTCTGGAACGCCCCTGGCGCAGAGCGACTGCGGGGGGGACCAATGAGAGCACAGGCCGGAGGCCCGGCGCGCGCGGCGACTGGAGGGGAGAACGGGGACGTCGCGGACGGCGGTACGAACCAGCCAATGGGAACTTGGAGAAGTGAAAGGAGGCGGGAGCTTGCGGCCGTGCCGTTTCGAGGGATCGGACGGTCGTCCTCGGGGCCTCGTGGCTGAAAAAAGGAAGCACTGTTCTGAAGACGTAGGTGGTGCGCTTGTAGAGCGCGTTTCTCAAGACAAATCACTGTTCGGACATTTTATGTTTTGCCCTATCAGCCCTGACGTGGCTTTTAAAGATGAGGAGACAGACTTAGAACGTGGCCCTTCCAGGGACACCCCACGAATCCGGCTCAGAAGCCAGTCTGACCGCATGAACGTTACCCAGGACTAGGGTCGGGGGACAGCCAGGATCTGACGCTGTCGTCTGGGACCACACTCCCCAGCAGTGCAGTAGGAGCCCTGTAGGGAAACCACCCCTTCCCTTCCTGTTGGAGGTCATACACATCCCGGTCAAATGTACATCTGTGTAGTTAGAATAAAGATTTATTTTCTGCACTTTGTTCTCTTGCGTTTTCTAAATGTTCTCCAGTTAACGTGTATTGTAGTCAAGGGAGATGTCATTACAAAATCAGTGATTTCATGGAACCCTTCTTCACTGGTGCAACCATAGTGGAAAACAGTATGTTGATCAGCCAAAAACATTAAATGTAGAATTACCACACGACCCAGCAATTCTGCTTCTGGGTATACAAAGAACTAGAAGCAGGGACTTGAACCTATTTGTATTTGTACGCTAATGCTCACAGTGATGTTATTCACAACTGAGCCCCAAATGAATAAATAAAATGTGCTGCATACCAACAATGAAATATTATTCTGCCTATTATTCAGAAAGTTGATTCTGACATGTTACAACAAGGAAAAACCTTGAAGGCATTGAGGTAGGCAACATACAAGACCCAAAAGGAGAACTACTGTAGGATTCCACTTACATTAGGTGCATAGCCAAATTCACAGAAAGTACGACGGTGGTTGACAGGGGCTCAGGGGAAAGAAAGGGTTAGTGTTGCATGTTGAATGGCTATAGAGTTTGGGAAGATAAAAAAGTTCTGGGAATGGATGGTGGGGGTGGTGGGACAACGATGTGAATGTATTTAATGCCACCAGACACTTAATAATGGTCAAGATGGTTTTCTGTTGTATTTTACAACTTTTAAAAAGAGGGAAAAAAAGAATGAAGGAAGAAGGAAAGAAAAGGGAAGCAACTGTATGGGGGGACACTCCGTGGGTCCACTGTGATGAGGGGTCGGTGAGAAGTCTGGTACTCTACTGTCTACAAATAGAGTTCTCACGCCTTAACAGTCTAAAAGGCACAGCACCATATGGGTGCCTGCCCACCTCTCTGACCTTGTCTCTGGCCACCTTTAGCACAGCATGCTTATTGCCAGGCATACCGGTCTAGTTACCTGCAGTTCTCGAATACCTCACTTACATGTTTCTGTGCTTCTTACAAGCTGTTCCTTTTTCCTGGAATACCCCTACTATCCCATCCTGCCAGCCTGGGAGACTCCTGCCCATTCCCTACCAACCAGCTCCAGTGGCGCTCTCAGTGTTCTAGTTCTAGAGTTCCCTGTAAGGCCTCCTTTGTATCTCATACAAAGGGCCTCTTATGCACATCACGCTGTGCTGGAATTTTCTTTACACATTTGTCTCCTGTTTTTCTTTCATGGATTCACAGCCCTTGGAGCACATCCGTTCTCCATACAGTTGGCTAAATTCTGGGATTGTAATCCTTGGGCCACAGCCCATGGAAGCTCAGGGGCCGCCCCTGAGACGCAGAGCTGGAGGCATGGACAGGCCCTCTTCTCCCAACAAACTGTAATAACCTGCTGATTCCCACACAGCCTAAGGGCTTTGCTTGTCATAGATCCCTTCCCCCAGAATCTATTTTAAGGAAGGCATTTGGTGTTTTGTTTTATGATTGAGCTGCCCAGAAAAATGGACTGAGGCTCCAGAAACTGCCACGGAGTGAGGAACTCCATAAGGAAGGGCTGCTTCACTCCCTGGGGCCCCCCAATGCCAGTCCCCTCTCTTCAGGGTGGGGAGGACAACAGCAAATGAAGCTTTTATTCCGGCCTTGGGAAATGTACCCCAAAGACCCCAGGGAGACCTGTACGGTGGGTGGGGCTGGAGGTCTGGAATCAGGCAAACCTAGCTTGAAATCCTGGTTCTGTGAGGAAGTCAGTTAACCACCTCTGGGCCATGGCTTCCTCATCTACACCCACCTGTGCAGGTTGTTACACCAGAGGATTAGTGTTAAGCATTTAGCTCATGTCTAGGAGACCAGAATTCCTCTAAATGGTGGAGTCCTGGCAAATTCATTACCCCGGGGGGATATCTATGGAGTCAGGTTGCTGGGAGTACGGCTGAAGTCCAGATGTGCTCTGGATCCCAGCCTGCAGCAGATCACGAGGCTGCTCGGCCAGAGTCCACTGCAGGAGTGCCCTCTTGTAAAACCACTTACATCTCTGGGCCTCAGTCTTTTCATCTTTAAAATGGAAGGTGAAGCAGTTCATCAAAACTGCTCTGAAGAGCTGCTTGGAATTCCCTGTCATCTGTCCCAGGCAGGGAAGCCTTCAGAGTGTGGTAGCCAGGACACCAATGGGGAGGAGGCACAGAGGGTAGAGGAGCCTTTGCAAAGAATGGGCTCCTCCTTTCCCACAGGATGGGCCCAGCAGAGGCTGGGAGGCACCGAAGCCACAACATCTGCATCTTCTGCTTTCTAGACAAGGACTCCAAGGCCCAGGGCCACTAGGTAAGGGGCTGGGGGACATCTGCTGAGTTTGTGCACAATCCAGCTAAGACTTAGGTCTCCAAGACAGGGTTGGCGAATAACTTGCAATTTTAGAAAACACGGCGCTTAGGTCTGGTTTGAATTTGCTCACTGACCTCTCTTCTCTGGAGAACCAAATTTAGCTTATGTTTTAGGAGGAAACCTTACAGTTGTTAGTTCCTGCAATTCCACTTCATGATTTAGTGCTAGTGCTGCAGGAGGGGCTTTGGGGGTTGAGGGGAGCCTGGCAGGGGTCGGTCACTGTGCTCAGGCCTGTGGGGGTTGCAGGGGGTGGTGACAAAGGAGGACCCGGGTGTCTGGTCATCTCCTGTGGCAGCAGCTGCCCTGGAGGGGGAAGGGGCGTTGGGGAGGGGTGCAGTGAGGCCTTTGGGAACAAGACACGGGAGGCTCACCAGCCTATGTGGCCTCGGCCTCAGGGTGGACAAGGTGCATCCAGGTAGCAGCGGAGAACCCATGAGAGGCTCAGCTAGCATCATTGATGGGAGTCCGGGAGCCACCAAGCAGTCTCTCGTGCTCATCCTCTTCTGCCAGGGGCCGGCCCCTGGCCAGGCGGGTGAGCAGTGGGCGGTGCAGCCCATTGTAGAGGGCAGTGCCTGTCAGCAGGATGAGGAAGCCCAGGATCTGCAGAGGGTGGAAGGCCTCCCAGCCCAGCGCCAGGCTCAGCGCCCAAATGACAATGGTACGCAGGCTGTCCAGCACCATGCGGGTAGTGGCGCTCAGTTCCTTGGTGACGCTGATGCCCGCGAAGTTGAAGAAGGCGATGCTGCTGATGTTGCCCAGCAGCGCCAGGGCGATGAGCGGTTGTCGGCCCACCTGGCAGAAGGCGTCCAGCGCATCCTCCAGCGTACCTCGGGGGCTTCCACTGAAGGAGCCGGCAGGGATATAGTACATGGGTACCAGCAGCAGGGAGAGGATCACGAAGCCAAAGAGGCCTGTGGGAGTGGAAGAAGCATGCTGCACCTTCTGTTCAGCCCCCACGCCCCCAGCCCCTCACCGGCAGCTCAGCCTGCCCAGCAGGGGCTCCACTGGTCTCCCTCCCGGCCAGTGCCCCCATCCTGGGGCACCTCACGCCAGCTCTTCCCTGTCAGGGCCTGGAGCTACCTGTTCATCTGGAACTCACGGTGGCCTACTGAGGGGGCTCCAGCTGCCCTGCTCCACTATAATCATATTTTATAATCTGAGCAAGGATAAAAACTACATTTTATATCATGACCTGTATATGTATGCACAGGCACATACACACATGCACACTTTCACAAAACAGTGGCTATCTTTACAATGTTCTCTGGCACTTTTAAATTCCATTGTATTCATTTACAAAAGAATGGCAGCTGTGATGGCGACACTGCTCTCACAAGCGTGGAGAAACATGGTTTTCTAATTCAGGGTCGCTGGTCTGTGACCAGGAGTGGACCAGAATGTAAATCAATGCACTGCTTCATTAAGAAAGTCTTGCTAGGGAAAAAAAGAGTGGATGCAAACAATGTGCTTGATCGAGATGATTAACGCTGTGCCAGAAGCCCGTGGCGCACACACGGCTCCCCGATTGATCCACAGGCCATGCTTGGCTGGTGCTGCTCTAATCTGCCTGCTGGTTTCATATTTTTAAATGGGTAGTTAAAGGTTTGGTAGTTACCTTAAAGGTTTGGGTAGTTACCTTCCCGCTCACAAACTTGTGGTGGTTCCTCCCTGTCTGTCATTGACAATCTAAATCTGTTTGACATTCAAGGTTCTCCATAAGACCCTGAACTATTCAATTCCTGCTCATTGTCCCAACGTCAAATCTGTAAGTCACCCAACTACTCCTTACTGGTTTCGATACTCATGGCCAGCTCCCCACATCCGTTCCTTCCTTCTCACTCTTGTTGCAGCTCGAACATACCTTCCCTGTCCTGAAGACCCTCAGATGTGCTTGGCTAGTGAAGCAACCCTTGAGCATAAGTGGTCTGAGCTCAAACGCACCATCTGGTCCTTCCTCGCTGGCCAACTCCTCTAGAGTGGGGTGCTCATTCCCTTTATGCTCAACCTCATCCCCCCCAGCTCCTGGGTCAGAGTCTCTGTCAGCACACACGTGAAGGGATGAGCCCCTCCCCCTCTCCCTATGGGTGAGGGCACCTTGCCCCGCATTCCTACTTGTGCATCTCCTCCACATGCTAGCATTGTGTGGGTGCCCCCGCAGCAGTACCGTGCTCCCCAGCCCCTGTGCTCACATACCCTCAGTGCCAACTGCCCGCAGTGGGTGAACATTATGCCTGTAGACAAACTTCTCCTCGAGCACCATCTGGATGGAGACAATGATCTGGGCCATGATGATCAGCAGGTCCCCTGGGGGGAAATGAGAACCATGGTGCGATTGGGCTGCATGGGGTGCGGGTGGGGGGAAGGGATGGAGCACGGCCACAGAGCTGTTGGCAGGGTGGTGGGCTCCATGCTGGAGTAGACGGCTCCTACAGGGACATGGTCACCCCCTGAGCCCCTGACTTTTGTAGGGCACCACATGGTTCACCAGACAGTCATGACAGCCCCATGCCTGGTCTCCTGGCTCCTGGGGGGTGGGGCAGGCCAGCAGAGCAAGCACTATTACCACTCTGGGCCAAGCCTCCAGAAGATCCAGGGGCCCACCTGGGCCTGTGACTGGAACAACAGGGTTATAAGCATGTCTTCTGAGGTGCACAAGACTTTGCGATAGACATTTCTGGTTTAGTCCATCCTCAGGACCAGAGGGATCCTGTCATTATAGAATAGGCTGCCAGGCTTCCTTTCTGGGACAGTGGGGATGATGCCAAGCTGAGTACATAGTAGACACTTAACAGATATTCATTCCCTCCCTCTCCCAGATCCAGGAGTATGTGTACCCAGCAGTATGTGTGTGTTTCTCATGGCACAAACGTCCCTCCTCTGACCTCCCGCTCCTTAACTATTCCTTTCTCATGCTGTGTGTGCCTTTCTGTGCTCTATCTGGCACCTCGAGAGCAGATGTGTGCCCAAGTCCACTGGTTTCCCATACTCCCTCACCCAGGGCCTCGCATAGAGAAGAGCTTGCAGAAGTCTGCTGACTGTGCTGGGTTCCCTGACTGACTGAGGACAGGAGAGGACGGGCAGCCCCTGCGTCCCCAGCCCTCATCGCACCTGTGATCACTTCGCTGAGTTTGTGCTGATCATCATGCTTGCTCAGAAGGTCGGCCAGGCCCACAACCACCAGCCCTGCGATGGTGGCAAGGATGCCCAGCCACTGGCTCAGCGCCAGCCTCCGCCCCAGGAAGGCCACTGAGAATAGGCCTGTGAATATGATCACTGCTCCTCGCAGCATCTGGAAGCTGGAGGCACTCGTCATGTTCAGGGCTAGGAGAGGAGAGACACACGATGTTAGCTGCTGAGGGTCAAGGCTATCTATTCACTATTCACTGAGGTGCCCTCATGGCTGAAGACCAGCCTTGCACATAGTATGTGCTCAGTAAATCTTGTGTATGGGAGGGGGGCAGGGGTGAGGTGAGCCGGGGCAGGGGTGGCTGTTTCACTAGTGCCCCTGCGGGGCCCTTTTCAGCGTGGCCTGGCTACTTACCCACATACATGATGCTGGTCCCCGTCATGTCGCACAGGGCAGGGGGCAGGAAAAGGAGGGGATTGAAGGGCTGCTGGGGATCCATGCTGGCGTCTGGGTGCCTTGCCGCTCGGCACCGAAGCAGGTAGAAGGCAGCCAGGCAGGAGAACTCCCCCAGGAACATGCCCACTGCCTGCAGGGACAGAACCCTAGAAGTTTACAACTGGTAGGAGAATCACCTTTGATGAAATCTTAACACAGCTTTTCTTCAGAGGGAAGCTTACCTGTAACTTGACACATAAACCAGACAAAAGCAGAGCTGCTGTGTGTGGAAGACCAGAGACTACCTCCTAGGTAAGGCCTAAACACCAGAAACATGTGGGCAGAAACACTATAAAACCGCATAAAGCCTGGTCTGAAAACCAGCGATCTAGGCCAATCTGTGGTCAAGTTCCAGATGGAGAAACAGAGGTCCAGAGAGGCTCAAGAACTGACTTCAGGTCACAGAGCAAGTGGCTGGGAGGGCAGGGGCTGAAATATAGGCCTCTGCTTCCCAGTCTGGCAAGAAATTGCCTTCCATTTACCTTGTCTGCCCTATCCCAGTGGAGTCTGGGCTTCCCATGGATGCAGAGCAGGTTTTGTTACTGGGGTTGATGTTTTCATCATCCCCAGGGCTGGCCTTACAGTGTCAGGGTGTGGCTGCCCACCGGGACTGCCATAGCCCTCCCAGAGAGGGCTGTGCCCTCTGCCCTCTTCCGTGGGCTCTCACACCCTGGTCTCTGTTCTGGTGAGGGAGGGAGGGAAGTGGACAGTTCTTCCCGGTTCTTCCTGAGAGCTGGGAAAGGCTCTGCCCCAGGTCAGGAAGCAGCAGGGTCTGGAGGGGGACACCTGACCTGAGGCCTCCTGGGGGCAGCAGGAGGTGGGGCGGGATAGGGCAGATACCTGAAGGAAGGGATGCTGGAAGCTGTGCTCCTTGCTTCCTCCACAGCCCTGTGCCACGAAGTTGTCTGCCCACCTGCAGTGGAGAGAGAAGTCAAACCTTTGGCAGTGTGCAAGCTCTGCAGCCCCGGACCCTGTGTCTGAGGACATTGCTCCTCTCAATGCCAAGAGGCCAGACTTAAGGGACTTGGACGAGTGTGAGACTCCCTTGCCAAGGGGCCCATTTCTGCAGCACAAAGCCTTCATCTGGGATTGAGGACAGAAAGTGGGGACCTAGATGCCTTTAGCAGAAATATAGCATTTCTTCACATTGTGAATGTGGCCCCATAGGACCTGTGACTTTGCCACACACACAAGTCACTGCTACTGTTATCAGCGCGTTAGAATCCTTGCAGACACCAGGAAGTGGCATTTACACTCGTCGCCTCTACAAAATTACAGTAATTAGACCCGCTGCTAATAATTTTTTTTGTGTTAAGAAGCATATACACATGCGTTACGGCATCACAAATTGGCTTTTTCAGTGTTTTGATAACTTTATTTTGAAATAAGTGGCTTTTTCTGTAATCTGATCCCTTAATCACACATTTAAAAACAATATTCTAGGCTTTATCAGACCATCAAATGGACCCATAGCACAAAAAATATCAGAAGTCTGTGGTTTACAAGGGCCTTTGGGCCCTTGGGAAATGACTAGCTGACAAAGACCACCCAGTCACCTTCATAGAACCTAAAAGGTTTGGAGGGTCTTTCTAGCACTGACTGTAAAGCAGGTGGCAAGTCCATGGCACTAGTGGAGTGGCCTCCCAGCCAGCACCCTGGCAGATGGCATAACAGTATGGCATGCTTCCCCAGCAACCTGACACAAGCCCAGAATTCTTCACAGCATAGTGCCCTGGGCAGCTACCACCAATCCTCCTGTACTGTCTGCCATCCATGAACTAAAAGCTCCTGCTCCCCAAATTTCATGTTTGCTGGGCTTTGTTGGGTTCCTGGGGTCTGGTCTAATCTCTTTTATTTAAAAGTCCTTTATTTATTTTTTAAAAAATATTTTATTTATTTATTCATGAGAGACACAGGCAGAGGGAGAAGCAGGCTCCATGCAGGGAGCCCAACGTCCTGGGTCCCCAGGATCATACCCTGGGCCGAAGGTGGTGCCAAACCGCTGAGCCACCTGGGCTGCCCCCATAAGTCCTTTAGAGGGGCACCTGGGTGGCTCAGTGGTTGAGTATCTGCCTTTGGCTCAGGTCCTGATCCTGAGGTCCTGGGATCGAGTCCTGCATCAGGCTCCTCAGAGGGAGCCTGCTTGTTCTGCCTTTCTCTGTGTCTCTCATGAATAAATATGTAAAATCTTAAAGAAAAAAAAAGTCCTTTAGATATTTGGAGACTTTCCCACCCCTCCCTTTTTTTTTTAAAGATTTTATTTATTCATGTTGTGTTGAGTCAAGGCAGACCCAGGGCAGTATCTTGTGGGCCTTGGGGCCCTTCCTTCTGCAGCACCCCATGCATAGGTGGTAGCTGTGTCTAAAATACAAGACTCAGGACTTCTTTTTATTTTTTAACTTATTCATGGAGAGAGAGAGAGAGAGAGAGAGAGAAAGAGAGGCAGAGACACAGGCAGAGGGAGAAGCAGGCTCCATGCAGGGAGCCTGACATGGGACTCGATCCTGGGTCTCCAGGATCACGCCCTGGGCTGCAGGCGGCGCTAAACTGCTGCGCCACCAGGGCTGCCCAGGACTTCTTTTTCTTAAATGACTTTCCTTGCAAAGTCTGTCAAGAGCAGCCACATGGTAGTACCCAGCCCTACTCTGTTGGCTCATTTCTGCAACAAGCCTGAGGTTTCAAAAGGCAAGTGGAAGCCTTTTATTTCCTGTGCTCCGCACAGTGCTACAAGCCTGGGACACTGGTTGGGGCCTACGTTTGACAAAGATCCTGGCCAGCTCTGGCTTCTCCGTGGCCTGAGTTTGGGGAGGGGAACAGGGAGCTCTCTGCCACAGCCCGGGCACGGGCATAACGCCTGGACACTGGCAGCAGAAAGGGCAGGCTGAATGGCGAGAGAATTCCTCATCAGCCATGGGGGGCGGGGGGGAGACCACATCTACTCATTGATCTGAACATACCCCGGGGCCAGTGAACAAAACAGGTCTATGGCAAATTTAGTTCACAGTGAGTGAGCTCACAGCCAGAGACCCCACCCACCCCAAAGATGCCAAGAAGGGCAGTTAGGAGGGCTTGTGGTTCTAGGGAATGGTGAGAATCAAAGGAGAGCTGAAGGGTGGGGAGGTCTCATGGGTCAGGGGACCAGGCTGTAACCAGTCCCAGTACCAATGGGGCAAAGAAAGCCCCTGCTACAGAAACCACCTGCTCTCTGGGGTCTCATTTCTGTCCAATCTGCTGCAAGTTCTGGCTCTTGGATCCCCAGGCTGGACAGGACATGGGATGCAGGTGAGGGCCACAGACCAGTGGTGTCTGCTCTCCAACTCAGGCTTGCTTTTGCAGAAAGAACACTGGGAGGGCCTGGGTGAGGCAACTGAGTGTAACAGAGGAGCATCAAGGAAGAGTAAAGAGGTCATGCCTTACCAGAGTGCAGAGCCAACTGCCCCAGAGCAAGTCAGAGATGGAAATTCCGGGAGCTGGAGCCAGGGCTCTTCCAGGAGGAAAGAGGGAGGGCCTGCCAAGCCCGTAAAGGTCAACTAGAAGCTTAGGGCGAGGGCATGTGTGGAAGCCCCTTCCTCATCATGGCACTATAGCCAGAGTACATGGCAGGCTCCAGGAGACCCCCAGATCTAATGGTCGAGCCGTCTCCTGGAACTCCCCTGGGCTACTCTCCACACAGCTTACAGTAATGATAACTCACACATCAGATCACTGTATGTGTTCTAGAGTCATTACCACTTGAGAGGGTGGAAGCCCGGCATCCAGCAATTTCTCTATCTCTGGATCGCCAGCTCCTGGCATACCGAAGCTCAAACATTTTTTTGTTGAGTAAGTGGGATTTCCAGACTCCACCTTGCATATAGGCAGGACTAGAGTTCAGAGACAATGTCTGCATGAAGCAAGGTGCCACCTGCTGGTGGGACCAGCTGGGCTTGTACCCAGGAGTGGGCCCCAAGTGCAGAGCTGGCCCTAAGGCTGATTGATGCTGCACTCCCTCTTCTGCTGCTAGGGCCTTCTCTGCTTTCACCAAGGTGTGGGTATGCCTCAACAAGTTGGGGCTGGCTGTGTTCCCAGCCTGGGAAATGGAGTCTTTTTGTATCTGGATACCTGGGGCAGGCTTGCAGTCCAAAGGATTGGGTGTCGGCAGGCCCAGCCTTCCTTCAGGCAGGGAGGAGTTCAGGCCTGCAGAGATTTGGGGTTGGAGTCAGGCTAAGAATCCTGGTCTTGAAATAGGCTTCAGCTCATTGCATAGGCACAAACAGACCCCAGATAGCATGCAACAAGAGCCAAAATCCAGCCTCAGTTGACTGGTTGATGACAGGCTCCTAAGGTGGGACAGCTGTTTGCAAAAATACTTCACTACATGTTTTTATAAACGCACACTTCACTGCATATTGACTTCATGCCAGGCCTGTGCTGGGCACTTGGGCACTTCATATTCTTCATTTTACATATGGGGACTTGATGGCTTGGGGCAGAGGGGGGGAGAGGACGGGGTTCAGACTCCTATAGTTAACAACGGGCATGTCTAGGGCCCAATCCATCTGCTCAAATTTACATTCAGAAAAGGCAGCAGGATACAAGGAAAACTCATGACTTTTACGCCTCACAGGTTGGACAAGTTAATAGTTTTATCTATAAAATGAGGATAATAATGCCAACACTGATGAACCATCAAAAGTAATAAATGATATAAGATACAGAAGAGCTGGTGCATGGCAGGTAGTCAGTGAAAGTCTTTTCCTGCCCCTTCTCCCTCCTTCCCCTCTATGACGCAGGAGTCTCTCCCCTTGTTTTGGGTCAATATGGCCTAGCTCTGCTCTAGCCTGAAAGCTTCTGGGAGTGCATCCATGCTCTGGGCTGAAGCAGAGGTGGCTGGAGGGCCACAGAGCCACAGAATGCTGACACAGAAGAAACTCAACCATCATCTCAGAAAGCTCCTTATTTGACAGACAAAAAGCCAAAGGACACAGGGCTCATCTGGTGCCGAGAAGGGCTAGTCCCCAGGGGTCTCTATGTCCAGTTCCATGCCCCTTCTTCAACACCTGAATTTCTCTCATCACTTTCTTATTCCAAATTCTTCCCATTCCCTTGGCTGCACTGGAGAGGGGCCAGGTCTGCGGATGGGCCTTCCTTTCTTTCTAGATACTGTTTTCTAAAGAAAAGCCATGGTCTTATGGGCAGAAGGAGGCCTGTGGGGACCCATGAGGGTCAGGCCGATGCTACATCAAGAGATGCTTTCTGCTGGCAGAGACCAGTTTATGACTTTTTTATTAAATTAAAAAAAATTTTTTTAAGTAATCTCTGCACCTAATGCAAGGCTTGAACTCACAATCCTGAGATCAAGAGTTGCACGCTGTACTGACTGAGCCAGGAGACCAGCTTCTTCGAGAAGGGGCTTTGGCAGGCTGGGGGTGAGCTCCCCTTGCTGGGGGTAAGTCACTCTGGCCCCGCCAAACTCAAAGCTCAGCATTCGGAGTGGCGCGTGCGGCCACGTGAGAGGGCAGAGGGTGTGGATGGACAGAGGAAGTGGCTGATGTGGCTGCCTCAGAGTGACAGCTGCGTGTCCAGTTCCCTGCAGAATCTCTGCTACTTCCTCTGGCGCCCCAGGCTTATCAAGCCCAGTGAATCAGCTTCTTTCGCCTGCCTGGGATCTTCAGGAAGGCTGCAGGGCGGCTCCACTCTTTGGGTGTCACAGCAGTTGGTGATAAAGGATCACGAGGCCTGTCCTCAAAGTCTTACCAAGTCTTCCTCAGTAGATCCTACCTTGTGTCTGGGTAGAAGGAAGGGAAGTCACAGCCATTTTACAGATGAACCTGAGGCTTCGAGAGGCCCAGTGACTCATCTACTCCCATAGCTTCCAAGCCTTGTACTCTTTTCACTCTACACACTACCCCCTGGTTTAAGGCTTTCTGTGGCTGGTGCAGGAACCCCTGTGAAGCAATCACCCCCTGCAAGCTCATGGAACCTAAGGGTGGGGGCAGCCACCAAGGCAAAAGTTAGAGCTGACACAGAAAGGATAGGGACAGTCCTCCTCTACTAGAGGCCCAGAGGTCCCAGGCCTCCTGCTACTTTCCTGGCAGTGTCCCCACATCAGGGGCCAGACCATTGGAGAAGTCACCCCCTGGCCCTGCTCCGGTGGCATGGGCTTCACAGCCTGCAGCATTTAGAAGGGCATCAGAGCCACACTTGGTGAGCATCTGCTTGACCCTGGCTCTTTATGTGCAGAACCCCAGGAGAATGGGGCTCTCAAATGGGCAGGACCCCAAATAGGCACTAGTTCAGGCAGACTGCCCTAAGCAGTGCGGGGAGGGGGGGGGAGGAAGATGTTTGATATGCAGGAGATGTATTAGCATCATAAGTAGGTCCTGGCAAGGGGTGAGAAAGCAGCCACTGAAAGGAGAAACAGCCCCTTCACTGCGAAGGGCCCTTTGCCAACGTCCAGAGCCAGGACCAAAGGGCCAGCCTGCCAGGTGGCTTTCTCCTTTGAGTATGTGATGGACCCTTGCCCCCATCCCAGCAAGGACAGGTCTGTCTCCTGCAGCCTACCTGAACCTGCTAAGCAGGCACAGTGGCCGCCTCCAGGGGAGAGCTGCCCTGTGGTCCCAACACAGCAGGTAGCACGTGCTCACCCACTTCCTCCTCCACCAAGTTTCATCTCTGGACCTGGGGATGGAAACATGTTCCTTTTACAGGCTGGGGAACTGAAAGAGGCTACTGGAAAGGCTAAATGAGAACCTGAAAGGCACCCTGGCTCCAGTGGGAAAATAAGTAGGATGACAGCAGGATCCTTTGGGCCAGGACAGAGCTTTGATGCCCAGCCCCAAAGGGAGGGCACTCTGGTGAGATCCCCAGGGAAGCGGGATTTTGGGTAGTCAATGTAAAAGGATCAGACTAAAATGCTGAGACCTAGGTTCTGGTTCTCACTTTGACACCAGCCAGCTGGTCACAAGAAGAAACTTCTAATGAATCCTTCACTATAAATTGTGGGGATTAGGATGGGTGACTTCTATGTTTCTAACAGCTTTAAATGCCCCCCAAAATGACTAGAGGAGCCCTAGCTCATCTCATATTGATGGTTAAGAGCCTGGATTCTCGAGCCAGATTACTTTGGCTCACATATAGACTCTGCCACTTAATGGCTGAGTTGAAATCAGGCAGGGAATTCCATCTCTCCATACCTCAGTTTCCTGATAGAGGACAAGGAGTTTATCTCCCTCATAGGCTGGTTATGAGAATTCATTAAACTAACACACAAAAGGTGGCTGCAGCAGGGGCAGGCACTGGTTATGGCAGCTGCTTAGCATATGCTGTGGTCATGTCCTAGTTTGTTGGTCCCTGCCAGAAACTGCAGGTCAGGGTGTGACTTCAAATCAATAATTCCCACCAGAATGTACACAGCTGCTGTCTCATGTTTTCTCTCTGAGGGCATCCTTCTCATAGTCTGGCTGAGAGGATCCTGCTGTTGAGGATCCAATTCTGGGGCCCACCTGAGATAGGGAGGCTCTCGAGAGGCCCCACATCAGACAACCTGGCAGTGGACGGGGCCAAAGGCTGGGTCCCCACATGGGGATCTCTTTCCTGCTTCTCAGGTGGCCTGAGGACAAGGCCTCCTGGGGCCCTGGATTCCCCTGGCCTCCTCCCTGACGAAGGAGGAGATGAGTCAGCACAGCTGACCCCAGTGACAACTGACAATCTTGACTCTCTGTGGGGGCAGAAGCCCTGGCTGACCTACAGCCACTTTCTAAGCACTTGACTGAGGCCTTGGCTGGTATGACAGATGGACAGACAGATGACTTGTTTTGTTGCATTCAGATCCTGAGATGGGAGCTCTTGTGTTGAATTTCCTTTATAGTTAACGGCTCAGCAAAAGCAGTGACCTTCAGGAGGCCACAGGGCTCAGGAGACCAGCTCAAGATAGCTCAAGGCAGAACCCAACTAGAGACAGGGGGCAGGGGGGTGTCCACCCAGAGCTCCAATTCCTGTGAAGGAGAACACTGTGGTTGTCAAGTGTGTATGTTCTGTCCCCTTCACCTTTGATTTTAAGCAACTCAATTCTTCTCTTGGTTACTTCAAACCTGAGTCCAGTCAGTGCTTCAAACCCTGCAGGCACCTTACACGTGTTTGATGAATTGAACAGGATACCTCTCTCCCAGACCTCTCCTCTGGAGCATGTGATCAAACACCTTAAGGAAGAATAAGACATGACTAGTCCCCCACTCCCTAGGGGCCTGGAGCACAGCCCAGAGGGTGACTGTGACTCCCCCTTGCTGTGGAGCCTGGCAGGGCCCAGCGAGAAGTTAGGTCTGGCTGGGAGAGGGCCATTATCAACTCTTTTCCATATGCATCTTGGAATCTGTTCAGAGAAAGGCCAGGATCTGGGTACTGGGGGTTCTGAGATGGTAAACAGAGAGGGCAGAGCAAGAGACAAAGCACTGCCAAGCGAAGGGGCTGCCTCTTGGGTCTCCTGTACATTACACAGAGGAGGCGATGCTCAACCCCTCAGCCTCATGACAGCCCTGGGTCCTCAATCCCCAAGCTCCTGGGGCCTGTCTTCATAGTCCCACAAAACACCTCACTGTCATGCATCAGAGTTGAGCTGCTCACCTGCCCTCCCTGTCTGGATTAATGAGGCTTCTGTTCTCCCAGGCAGAAATCCTGGAGGAGTCACTGTCTCTTGATCCTGTGGGTCAGGCCTTATAGCTTCATTCTGCACCTGGTCTCTCCCACCTGTCTGGTCCTTTCCTGCCTCACTGCCCCACCTGCTATGCAGTAGCAGCTTTGCAATAGTCTTCCCTGCACTAAACTAGTGCAACCTGACCACCAGGTTCATCATAACCATTCCCTGCTCAAAAGCTCTTCTTTGATTGTGGGATAAAATCTGGCCTGGGCATTTGGTGCTGGTTACAATACACTTCGATGTGGACTTGCTGTTCCCTGTCTCCACCAAAGTCCACATGTAGAAATCCCACCAAAACGTCAAGGCCCAGCTGTGACCTCTCCTCCACGAGGAGCCCATGGGGGGGGGGGGCGGGTAGCCCCTTCCCTATCCACAGCCTTCCCCCGCTCACCGGTTCCTCGGCCTGCATGGCTTCTATTGTAGCGTGTGCGCAAGTGTGGGACTGCCCCTTCACCCCACCCCTGCCCACAGCCCCTGGAGGGCCCGGGCTCCAACGCCAGCGTTGGAAGGGGCCGGAGAGGAACTGCTCCAACCCTCCCGTCTAAAGATGAGGAAACTGAGGCGTGGAGACGTGAGGTGACTCGCTGGGATCAGGCACATGGCCATTAAAGCCCAGGCTCGGGTCCTCCGGCCAGGGACGCGGCCATGGTCCGTATTTCCTCGGGCCTCGCGCTCCTTGGGGGCCCCAAGACCGCGTGAACCGACCAGAGAAACCGGGCGAGCCGGTGAAGCCGGGAAAGGAGAGCCGAGGAGGGGTAGGGCGAGGAAGGTGCGCGGGGTCACCGACGCCCTCGCGGGCCGCGGCAGGTCCGGCTGAGCCCCCTCCCCTCCCGGCCGGGCCCCCACTCACTTGGCCGAGAGCGTGTTGATGGAGCCGGTGACGAGCATGAGCCCGGCCAGGAACAGCTGGTACTTGGTCCAGGCCATGGCGGCGGATGAGGGGAGCGGGAAACTGCAGGGATCCCCGCGACCTCGACCTCCGCGCTGGCTCCCGGCGGCAGCTCCCGACCCCGCCACCTGGGGGGTCTCGGGAGCGAGCGCTTCCGGGCCGGGCGTCACGTGACGCGCGCCGGCCCCGCCCCGCGCCGTGGCCCCGCCCCCCGGGAGCGCGCCGGGCACCCGAGCGGCGTCTGGGCACGGGCCGATCCCGCGCGCTGGCCCCCGCCCGGGTCTTCCCGTCTGTGAAAGCGGCTGATGCGGAGGTGCCGCGAGAGTGCATTGTGGATGTCGGAGCGTTCTGTAAACTGTTTAAAGAGATCCAGCCGGATGATGTCAGAGAGAACCACGAAGTGGAAACGTCCCCCCGGGAAACCTCTTTTGTCCAGGGAACCCCCGGGGAGGCCTGGAACGTGTCCCTGGATGAGCTGCTCACGCCTTCCGGAAAAGTGCAGGAATCTAGTTCCAGCTCCCCGGGAGACCATTTTATAGCTGAAGAAACTAAACTGCGGGAAGCCAACTGATTTGCTTATGATTATGCTAGTGAGTGGTACAGTGGGGTTTTGCATGGAGGCTCTTCATTCTCCCCCAGATCCGTACCTGTGGCACAGGCCCCTCACCGGTGCTCCTTCGTGGATTCCCGGCGTGCTGCCCTGAGGCATCCATGGTAGAAAGACCTACTCTTCTTCGCTGAAGATTTATGGCTTCTAAAACCCTAGTTCTCAGCTTCCCAGCTGTCCTCTATCCTCCTCCCCAGGCCTGTAGTCTGCATCGCAGGCCCTGTCACACCACATGCTGAAGTGCAAAGCCTTGGAGCAACTACTTCAGACCCAGTGGACACATTTTCCCCATTACTGCAGATCTTGTTACTACTTGAGGTGCAGATATAGGACCTGCTTGCCAACTCCTCCTTCTCACCCTAAGACTGCTTTGAACTTGTGAAAATTACCAGCGTTGAATCAGAAAAACTGAAGGGATCTGACCTGACAGAGGTCCCTTGAAGGAAGACCTGACAGAGAAGGTGCACATGTGGGATCCTGGACAAAATGTAGAAGGTTACTAGGGGAAGGGCTTGTCTTGAGGAGGGAGCGCCAGTGGGATGGCACAGAGGCATGAGTGAGCGTAGGGTGTGTCTGGAACCCACATACCTTCCAGGAACTTTTTCTTCCTTCACTGGAGCCTGCTCTCTTCAATCAGTGGGAGAGATGCGGATACAGACAAAGTTTCTTCTAAGCTTCTTGTCCTCGATAGTGTAACTAGTTTCATATGATTTAAAAGGAACCCCTGCGGTTATTAAAAAAATATTTACTGAGGGACGCCTGGGTGGCCCAGTAGTTGAGCATCTGCCTTCGGCTCAGGGTGTGGTCCTGGGGTCCCAGGATGGAGTCCCACAGCAGGCTCTCCGCAGGGAGCCTCCTTCTCCCTTTTCCTATGTCTCTGCCTCTCTCTCTGTGTCCCTCATGAATAAATAAATAAAAACTTAAAAAAAATATTTACTGAGCCACTGGGGCTGTAGAGATGCATGAGGGCAGACAGGGCAGACCACACCGGCTGGATAGCGCCGTCCCTATCAGAGACGGTTCCTACAGACCACAGTGACACACTTGGGGCCCGGGACCATCTTCCCCACAAGCCAAGGGTTCTGTCTTGAACTAAACATTCCTAATGACTAGTGGTGTCACCAGCCCGACATGATGTCACTAGCAACACAATCTTTGTCTGTGTCCACATCACACAATGGATTTTAATTTATCACAGGGTTCTGACCATTTGTCAAATTGCCACCCCCGGAGTCCAGGAGACAGGAGGATTTATTGGCAAATATACATGGAACCCCTAAGTGCCAGGTGCAGAGCCAGATATGGGGCCCCCAAAACAAAGCAAGATAAGATCCTTGCCCTCCAGGAGTTTAGGATTTTAGGGAGGAGAGGGATGAGCACATCTGTAGTAAGCACACAGCAGCATGAATAGGAGGCAGAGGGGATTGGGAAGGGGTTGGATTTCTCAAGAGAGGCAGGAGCAAAGGCATGACAGTGACAGTGCTGTCCTGGTTCAGGGTTCCTGTCTATGTCCACCTGTACTTTACCTCAGTTCTCAGAGTAGCCTCATGAAGCTGGAATTCTGGGGAGATTTGAGCAGGGACTTGAAGGAGAAGCAGGATTGCTCCAGGTGGAAAAGGAGACATTCCAGGCAGAGACAACCATGTAGATGCCACGCGGGTGGCCAGCCAGCTTCACACTGAGGAGTGACCTGGAGTGAGGCTCTCTATCAGCCTGGCCAGGCTTTACAGGTGAAAACTAGGGTTGAAGTTAGTGTTCATAGGTGGCAGTGAGCCTGCGGTTACAGCACTGGAAACTCAGGAGAAGAAAATTCTGAGAAAAGTAGAGAGGAATCTGGGAGGCAATGTTTGCAAAATCCTCCAGATTCTTATTTGATGAAATTCAGGGATAGAGCTTAATGCGTATGCTGGATACTAATTTGCCTCATAATTTTGAATCCCTGGTTTCCTGGGTTAAGTAACATGTCCACAAACTCAACCTCAAAACTTTCTGAGCCTGTGGAAAGTCAAAGGTGGGCCAGTCTTCTCTGTGTGGTGCTCCTGGCCATCAGAGGAGCGGTTGTCTTATAATTAGTCAGATTTGGTTATCCTGATTAAAGACATCAGTTTCCATGAATATTGGAGTTGTATGAAAGGTAGCAAATTTAGTGAATTTTTAGCAAAGGAAAGATATTTACTATGTGTTAGGGGTGCCCCTCCCACAAAATCCTGCATGTGGATAGGCCAGTGGAGGGAGACAGGGCATTCTTCATGTTTCTCTACAAGTGTAGAATCTTCAGGAATGCAGTGGCATCTGTGCAAGTTGTCCTAGACTAGAAAGAGAGAGAGTGGTTTCCAGCTGGCTCTGCCCCTTAGAATAAAGTGACCATGATTTAGTTGCTTAATCACTCAGAGCCCTACTTTCCTGTCTGCAAAATGGGAACACTGACATTTGGCGCTTATGTACAAAGGGAAGAGGACAGATATGGAAGAGCAGTGGGAGGCCCCATGGAGAGAATCAGTATAGCTGCTCTGAGGTTGGGGCTGGCCCAGCAGAGAGGTACACACAAGGACAAAAGGTTGTGCATTGAAAAGCATTTCTCATGATTTGCATAAGTGCATGATCCAGTTTTTTTTTCTGGCTAGGGACATTTTGAACAAATTTGCATGCTACCTTCAAAGAGCCTCTAATTTCCAGAGTCAAATATAAAATGCGTCACTGCAGACTCCTGCATTTGTATTCAAAGCTTACTGCCTACCTGTATCTTGTCTGAAAGATTGAACATTTCCCCAATCAATTTAATCACATTTTGGATTAGGAGAGTTACTTTACCCAGGGAGGGTCAGACCTGTTTTGTTCTGAACAAGCTTTTCCTGTATGTCCTTGGGCCATTTCCCTCCTGTGTACTGTTCCCCTGCTAGAATGTGACCTCCTTGTGGACAGATGACAAAGGTTTTTTTGCTTGGCCAAATGTGAGTCGAGCTCCAGAATCTTCTACCGGCACTTCTAGATAAAATCCAGTTTTGGCAAGAAACCTGCTAAGTTAGTTTAACCAGAAACCCCTAGCCTCCATATCTTATCTCCCTCCATATCTTACTAGGTTCTTCATCTTCCACCATCTCCCAGGTGATGTCTGACCTCTTGGGCCTGTCTTCAGAAAGAATCCTGTTAGGTCGGTTTAGCCAGAATCCCCATTATCCCTCTTAGTTATTTTCCACCCACTGACACTCCCACCCCCACCCCACTCCTTGGTTATACATTCCCACTTGTCCATGCTGTATTTGGAATGGAGCCCTATTCTACACCAAGATCTCTCTTGCAATTGTCTGGAATAAGGGCAATTTATATTGATTTGACTACTATTTGGCTCTGATTTTTCTGTGACACGGGGCTAGGTATCCAGTTGCTATCTCTCCCAATAGGACAGGTGTCGCAGGGCAGCGACCTGAGGCTGTGGCTGGCAGGAGGAGGAAGGGCTTGGGAGGTAGAGGGAAGGATCAGGTCCTTGGGAGAGAAGCTGGGACAGTAGGACCAGGCACGACCAAACCTATCCTGGGAGGGGAATGTCAATGATCTATACTGGTGGAGAGGCAGTGGATGTTGGATTTCACCAGTTTTTCCCATTGGACTTTGGTGGTTTCTATGGTGACGGGAGATGATTAGATTAGGAGTCACAAGCTCCTTCCAGCTTCAGACTCTCACAAGGTCTCTCTCAAACCTTCTCTCTGCCTTTCTTTCTTAACATCTTTTGAGCCCCTCCCAGCTTCTTTTGGAGCAGGTCACTAGATCCTGGAAGCTGTTGTTTGGCCTTGGTCCTCTGGGAACACAATCAAGTCAGATCCAGATGAAGTACTGACTTCCAATTACATTTGATTTCAGATAAGCAATGAGTCATTTTTTAAAATAAGCATATCACCAGTATTGTTTGAGGGGGTACACTTACACTAAAAAAATGATTCATTATTTATTTGAAATTCAAATTTAACCGGGCATCCCATATTTCATTTGCTCAGACTGGCAATCCTGCTGGTCTGGCACCCAGCTCAGCTCCTTTGCTCAGAGAGAATGAACCATGATAATGGCTGAATTGAATTGGTGTGTCATTAGGCAAATATCTTCCTTTGTGTATGCTATTGAGTAAGCCAACAATGTTTTCCTTCTCTGACTCTGTTGAGTCTCTAAATTTACCCCAGCCTCTGGGATGTGGGGCTCGCAAAGGAAAACCCCAGGCTCCTGTATTTAATGCCCTTCTGACTAGAAGTGAGGGCATCTGTAGGGGATTTTAAGGCACAGCTCTAGAAAAAGGAAAAAAGAAACAAACCAAAAAACAAGACAGGAAACACGAATGGCAGAAAGTTGATGGTTGTTGAAGCTAAGCTCTGGAGACACGGGGCTCTTGTACTATTTAAAAATTTTTCTGCATGTTTGAAATTTTCCACAATAAAAACTGAAATACATAAAAACATTATGTATTTGTTAGAGAAATTAGTAGAGAATTAGTAGAGAAATTAGTAGAGAAATTAGTAGAGAAAACACTAGAAGTTTTAGAAAAGTTTTAATTGAGTTATAATTGACATTTAATATTATA